CTCCCCGCCTATCTACTTTCACATGTAACGCTGCCCGTGCGCTGGTTGGTAGGTTGATCCGAGTTGGCTGGTTGGCTGGTTGGTTGGACGCGCGGGGCATACGCGCGCGGCCGCCGCGCGCGGGTGTCGAAATCCTTCCGAACAAGTTGTGTGTTCAACAGTTCCAAGATCAAGTGCCAGAGGCACAATCCCTGCCAAATAAAACCATGCGGGGCACATGCGCGCGGCCGCGCGCATCGTCGTCGTCGTCGTCGTCGCCGTCGTCGTCGTCGTCGTCATCTTCCCCGTTATCGTCGTCGTCGTCGTCGTCCCCCTCGTCGTCGTTGTCGTCGTAGCCGTCGTTGTAGTCGTCGTCGCCGTCGTCGTTGTCGTCGATGGGTAATCGCAGTCACGGCTTGAAGAGGGATTGCGACCAAGTTGCGGGTGGGTGGGTGGGATGTTTGCACGAGCAGTGGAGTGGCCAACTCAGCTAAGGGTAAGTCAATTCTCCTTTCTAAAAAGATAATCGACTCTACCCCCCCCCCTGGCGCTATCGCTACCCATTTCGGGTATGTAAATCACATATGATTCTGACCACATGTCCATCCTAAATATGAAATCACAATGTCCCAGGCCAGACGGTATCCCCCCCTGAGGTCCCCTGGTAAAAAAACATTATGCGGTGACATTTTTTGTTCTAAACACTTTTTTCACGAATCCCTTGCAACAAATGCGACGAACTGCGCACGCGCGCGTCGTCGCGCGCGCATGCCGAAATCCTTCAAGTGCCGGAAGGATTTCGCAATGGAGTTCCCCAAAAACATACAAAACACAGGGTTTCGTAACACTGATTTGCTAAAAAAGCTTACGCGCGAGCTTTTGCGAAATCTTAAGGAAACCATTGGTTCTTCAATATTTTCACAACATGCTACCAAACGGGTGTCGCGCGCGCATGTCGAAATCTGTCGAACGCCCTTGCGCATGTGCCGTCGCGAGAATCCTCTGCAAAAAATGAGACGAAGTGCAGACGCGCGCGTCGTCGCGCGCGTACGCCGAAATCCTTCAAAACCCATCGGTTTCGGAAGGATTTCAAAATCGCGCGTCCAAAAGACCTACAAAAGCACAGGGTTTCGCAACACGGATTTTCAACAAAAGCGTTCGCGCGCGCTCTTGCGGCGTCGTCGTCGTCGTCGTTGTTGTCGCCGTCCTCCCTCCTCCCGCGTCGTCGTCGTCGTCGCCTACGTTGTCCTGTGTCTTTCTTCGTGTTCGTCGTCGTCGTCCTCTTTGGCGTCGTGGTCGTTTCCGTCGTCGTTGTCGCCGTGGTCGTCCTTCCTCCTCCCTCGTCGTCGTCGTCGTCGTCCGTCGTCGGCGTCTCGTCGTCGTCCCTCCTATTTCGTCGCTGTCGTCGTCGTCGTCGTCGTCGTCGTCGTCGTCGTCTCGTCGTCTCTCCCTCCTCCCTCGTCGTTGTCGTCGTCGGCATCGCCGTCCTTCCTCCTTCGTCGTCGTTCGCGTCGTCGCCGTCCTCCTCCCTCGTTGTCTTCGTTGTCGTCGTTGTCGTCGTTGTCGCCGTCGTCGTCCTCCCTCCTCCCTCGTCGTCGTCTTCGTTGGCGACGTCGTCGTCGTGTTCGTCGTCGGCGTCGTCGTCGTCGTCGTCGCCGCCGTCGTCGTCGTCGTCGTCGTCGTCGTCGACGTCGGCGTCGTCGCCGCCGTCGTCGTCGTCGTCGTCGTCGTCGGCCCTCTTGCTTCTCCAGCCTTCTTGGGGCGCTCTTGAGACGTCCCCGAGGGCTCCAAGACGACCCCGGAGCGATATCTGTGTTTGCTCCCGCATGGGTTTTGCAAACCAAGTTGCGGGCCGGTGGGATGGATGATTGCGCGAGCAGTGGAGTTGACTACTTCAAGTTCGGCAAGTGATTAATTCTCCTTTCTAAAAAGAGAATAGACTCTACCCCCCCCCCGGACTTATCAGCTCCCCCTGGGGTCATATATATTCTGCACACTCGTCCATCCTAAATATGAAATCATAACATCCCAGCTAGGCCGGGTTCCCCCCCCTGAGGTTCCCTTGTAAAAAACACTATGCGGTGACATTTTTGGTTCTAACATAGCACTTTTCACGAATCCTTTGCAAAAAATGGGACGAAGTGCAGACGCGCGCGTCGTCGCGCGCGCATGCCGAAATCCTTCAAACACCTTCGGTGCCGGAAGGATTTCGCAATCGAGCTTCCAAAAGACCTACAAAAACCCAAGGTTTCGCAACACGGATTTTCAACACAAGCGTTCGCGCGCGCTCTTGCGTCGTCGTCGTCGTCGTCGTCGCCGTCCTCCCTCCTCCCGCGTCGTCGTCGTCGTCGCCTACGTCGTCCTCTGTCTTTTCTCGTGTTCGTCGTCGTCGTCCTCTTTGGCGTCGTGGTCGTTTCCGTCGTCGTTGTCGCCGTGGTCGTCCTTCCTCCTTCTCCCACGTCGTCGTCGTCGTCCGTCGTCGGCGTCTCGTCGTCGTCCCTCCTATTTCGTCGCCGTCGTCGTCGTCGTTGTCGTCGTCGTCTTCCCTCCTCCCTCGTCGTTGTCGTCGTCGGCGTCGCCGTCCTTCCTCCTTCGTCGTCGTTCGCGTCGTCGCCGTCCTCCCTCCTCTCTCGTCGTTGTCGTCGTTGTCGCCGTCGTAGTCCTTCCTCCTCCCTCGTCGTCGCCTTCGTTGGCGTCGTCATCGTCGTCGTCTTCGTCGGCGTCGGCGTCGGCGTCGTTGTCGTCGTCGAAGTCATCGGAGACGTCGTCGGTGTCGTCCTAGTCGTTGTCGTCGGTGTCGTCGTAGTCGGTCTTAAGAGGTTTTGCAAACCAAGTTGCGGGTGGGTGGGTGGGATGTTTGCACGAGCAGTGGAGAGGACAGCTTCAAGACAGTCAAAGTGGGTTGCACCCTTAGATGTTGGAGCTCATTGGCCTGATGCCGTAGCAATCGTTTCGGCGTGGACCTCCCAAGGGTCTTGCATCCCTACTCTCTGTCCGAGCTGAGGAATTGCACTGCGGAGGCCTCCGAGAAGGGGGCAGCCCGCTTCTCCTCCCCTCTCTTCTTCCTCCTGTGCCTTGAGGGATTCGTGATTGGACTAGTGCGAGAGGGGGGCCTCCTAGGGGCCTCGTAGGGGCCCCCCAAGGGTAGAGAGAGAGAGGGAGAAAGAGAGAGACCAGGCAGGCGGTCGGGCCCAGGCTTCGGGCCGTACGCCCGTCAGAAATCTGATGAGCAGACATCAGCGTTCACAATCGGTGCTTGCACTGACGGGGTCCCGGCGGAAGCTGGAAGATTTGGCGAGAGTTCCGGGCCGATTTCGGTCGGCGGCCGGGTTCCTGGTTCTGGGTTCCCGGGTTCCCGGTCGGGGGGGCCCGGGCCGATTTCGGTGGGCGGCGGGTTTCCCGGGTTTTTGGTCGATCTTCTTATCGATCGGTCTCAACATCGATCCCATGACCCACCTCTCTATCGATCTCACCATCGATCTCGCCATCGATCTCACGATCAGTACCACAAACGATCTCACCGTAGATCGCACGAGCGATTTCACGATCGATCTTATTGAATCGATGTCATTTTCGGTCTCGCGATCGACCTTGCAATCGTCCTCACGATCGATTCCACGATCGATACAAGTATCGGTATCCCAATCGATATCAATATCCATATTGTTAAGTTTCAAACCATCAATCGATTGGGGTACTTCTCTGGTGTAATTTCGTTTTGCCAGAAATATCAAGAACCTGTAGTGGGACCTGGGCGTCTTTTTGTTGTTTTCTTGTCGTAGAACCTTCGTAGATTTGGACCTGGACGATGGTTCATGAAAACGCCTGGAAGAAAGTCCAGGTTTTCAGCTCAAACTTGTCCGAGCTCCAAGCAGGGGTGTAGTGTCCTACCATCGGCGGCGAGCGAGGCGTGAGAAGGAAAAGGCCTTCGCAGAAGGCGGCGGGGTTTCTCAGAAGCCCTCCGGCCTTCTGATATTTTGTTTCGAGGAAGGCTTGGCAAGTTTCTCGGAAGGCCGGGGGGCTTCCGAGCCTTCTGAGAAGGCTCGCCCCCTCTCACCATCCCCCTGGCTGGCCGCCGAATTGTCCTACCCGCGTTGTGATCTTCTTCGCGGCGTCGGGAAATGCCAGGGCCTCAGCTTCGACGTGCAAGCTGCACCGCGCACGCGCGCCGCTCCGCGCGCGCGCGCGGCGGGACTGCCGCCGTGTCAAGAAGAGGACCTGAGGTCAGGCGCGCGTCGCCGTTTGGACTTCAGTCGGCCCGACGTATGCGATCGAGGTCGGTTCGGGGAGGGTACCGTCATGTTCTTCATGTGTTGCTGGGTATTATTGTGCATCCTGGGGGGAGGGCACCCTTCGAACATTCTTCAGTTTGGGCCAGTCCAAGGTCTGGCCGTACAATGTTAGTATTGGGTTCGTGCCACATCTTCATATCAGATCGTGTTTGATTTGCTTGCCACAGTTTCTGGATTGTAGATCGCCCGCGCACTGCCGCCATCTGCGGCTCGAAATGGTTCAAGAGCGCCACCAGAGAAACCTGTATCAGCGCTAACCGTTCTGCACCTTGATACTGAAACGTCAAAACCAGGGAGGGAGATCTGATCGCCCTCCCTTGCCTTGTCTGTGCCCCCTTATTTCCCACCGCCCAGATATACACCGCCTCAGGATCGTTTCAAGGCCTCGGGCCTCCTGGAGCGCGCTGGCGAGGCCAGGGGGTATCCATGTTCACCGCTTCCGGGGACTTCGGCGACTTCGGGCAGGATCCAAAAAGCTGTGCTTATGGAAATTTGTCGGCGGTGCACATGTGTGTCACCTGTTGCGCGACTGGGCCAGGGCACATGAGATTCAGCAGGTTCTTTTGTCTACGTCGTCCTCCTCTACCTCCTCCTCCTGTTTTTGTTCCTCCTTCGGAGGCCCTGTGGTGCGCACAAGCTCGGATTCACGTATGTGAAGCAATGTTAGATTCCCCGCTGCCCCTCCTCGTGTCTCTTGCGCGCGCGCGCCGCCTGCCTGCCGCTGCTCTGGGCTCAAGGGAACCTCCATCGTCCTCCCCCAGTGGCTCAAGGCCAGTCGCCCCATGATGTCCATGGAGGCCCCTTGCCCGCTGCGCGACCGGCTTGCTAGAAGCCTGCGCGGCTGCGACGCCGACCTCGGCAGCCCCCTCGCGCGCGGCCTCTTCGCGAACCGCGCCTACGCGCCCGCCGGCGTCGTCGAGGAGGGGCCCGTGGACTATGAGGCTCTCGCAGGCTGGCTGCTGGGCCACCACGAGACTGGTACGCCGCCCGGCAAAGCGGCCGCGGCCCCGCTGGAGACGCCGCGGGTAGTGCGGCTGAACGTTGGAGGCAGACCGGTCACCACTGGGGGAGCTGTGGTGCTCGCACCCCTGGGGGGACCCATCGCTTTCGACTCGATGACCCTCGGGACCCGTCAGTTTGCGTCTATCCGGTTCAGCTCCACCGATGCCACGCAGCCCGCGGCGGCCCTCATGACGATGCCTGCGTCGTACTGAGGGGCTTCGGTGGACAAGCACACCCTGGCGCTCACACGCGTTCTGAGGATCATCGACCGGCGCCCCCCTGTCGCGAGTTCGTCGACATTGTGGGTTCCCCCAGGGGGTTGAGGCGGACACTTCTCCCGCTTGTAGTCGGTCGGGGAGAGGCTGCCTCTTCGCCACGAGATCCTCGACGCTGGCCAAGGCCCGAGGAGCAGGAAGAGGGCACACGACTGGCGCGAGGACTGTTGAGCGGCCCTGGCCGCGGAGCCAGAGGAAGAAAAGGTACCTCGGACTCTACCCTTGCCTCGTTTTCGCTATTGGCGGGCCTGCGGGGCGAGCCTCGTCGCTACCGCTGGAGGTCCAGGGAGCAGCGGCATCAGTACGTTCTGCTTTCCCCGTGGGGGGGTACCGCCTGAACTCTTCGTGTCTCAGCTCTCCACCGCGAAGTGTCGTTCGGCGCGGGTGGTGCCTGCACGGCGCCCGCGCAGGGCTTGCGGCGAGTGGGCCCGTGCTCCCTCGTTGTCGTGGCCATGTCTGGGCGGTGCGTAAGCATGAGCTTTCGGAGGTCCGCGCGGTTTTCTTGGGTCGGCGCTGGACACTCCTGGCGGCGCCTGGGGCGCCGCCCCTGGTGCGGGTCTATAGCGCAGGACCCAGCAATCCGCGCGGACCTGCGAAAGTTTTTGGATGTGCCCTTTCATGCTCGAGTAGGGGATCGACTACAGAGCTGGTCTACACCAGAACTCCTTTCTCGTGGAACCTACGAAAACTACGTCGAATGCCCTTACAACTACGCACAGTATACGTATTGTTTGTAGATAACACGCCGGTCGTTGAAAGCAGGTGCTTTGGGATGCCCAGATCCCAATCTACGTTAGCCGCCTTCCTACTTTCAGAGTCGAGCGTTTTTTTCCTGTTCCCTCCTCTTCAGGGGGCGGCGGAAACCCAATCTACTTTCAACGCCTTCCTGCTTCATTTGTCTGCCCACCTCTTCCGACCAACGGGTAGACGAAAAACGATGTTGGGAGAATTCGGCTTTGAAGTCGATCCCTTACAGTCGGGGCGCTGAAGAAGGAACCCCTTTCGTTGGGGCGGGGCCCGGTGTTCCTTGATCGTGTAACAGCTTGCCTCAGGTTCTCCTGAGGCTTTCGATTCGAAATCAAAGCTTAGCTTACGGAAAAAAGAGGCATCGTTCTTGATCTAGGGTTTCTTTGGTCAACGCCCCGACTGTTTTCGCCCTGCTCTTCTCCGAGAGGCCCCGCCCGGCTCCCTGCTGAGGGGGCTGCCCCTCGGGCCCCCGGACGGCTCCGGCTGCTACTACATCTGCCGCGACGGGGGCCTCTTCGCCTACGTCCTGAACTTCCTGCGCGACAGCGACCACTTCGCGGTGCCCACGGACCTCGCGGAGCGCCAGGGCCTGTACTGGGCTTAGGCGAGGCTCATTTCGACCCTTCTGATGTTCGACTCGATGCGATTTCGATAGCTTTCGATCCCGATTCGACTCGGCCTCGGATTCCGATGTTCATTCCTTTGTCTCACTCGAGGCCTACTAGCCTGCCGATTTCCGTCGATTCGACTTCTCCCGATTTGGCTGCCGATTTCCGCCGATCCGATTCATTTCGATCGCCGATCCGACGTATCGATTCGAGTCTGGGCTCTCCTGTTAGTTGCCCTGATACGCCCGTGTTGAAACTCAACACGTACCGTGCTCAAGACGTCCGTGTTGACAAGTTGCGTGTTGGCTCGGCACGTGTTGGTCCACAGTTTGGTGAACTTATCGCGCCAGACCTACATTGAAAGAGTATACGTGTTGACCTCCGTGTCAAGACGATACGTTTTCGTGTTGCGAATCGAGGCGGCTAAGGTACCGGGAGGCCTGCCACTACGGGCTCACGGGCCTCGCGCGCGCCGTGCAGGGCGCGGGCTGCTGCCAGGGGGCGCCCTGCTCGCGAGTCCAGCAGGGTCAGCCGGGCGGGATGGTGGAGAGCTCCGACGCCGAGCGCGCGGGGGCGGCTCGGCTCGACTGCTTGACCGCGACCGCGAAGTTTCTCCTCGACATGCCCGCGGCCATGATCTCCCTCTCGGACGACGACCCGCGGAGGTCCAGCCAGGGGTGCAGGCTGAGCTGCGCCGTGGCGCCGCGGAGCACGGTCGACAGCGCGCTTGGCTCCCTGCCGCAGGACCTGGAGGTGCTGGTCATCGAGGATACTGACGCCGACCCGCGGACACGAGGCAACCCGCCCGTCGTGGAAGGGCGGAGGATCAGGTTCTACGCGGGGTGCCCCCTGGTGGCGCACGATGGCTCCAGGCTGGGTGCCCTGTGCGTGACCGACCACGCGCCCCGCAAGCTGATGCAGTGGCAGTGCCAGCTCCTCGTGAGCCTCAGCTACCTCGCCGTCCAGGAGTCAGGAGTGACAAACAGACGCAGGACGCAAATAAACGTCGGTGTCCAACCAGATGTGGGAAAATGTGGGAGACGGAGGGGATGACGAAAACCCCGGAGATAAAGAAACAGGTGCGGCATCCTGGAAGTTGTGCCCGCTTATTGTGAAGGCCCTACGGCCGTTGCCGCCGACCCTGAAGGGGGACGACGACGACGACGACGACGACGACGACGACGACGACGACGACGACGACGACGGCGACGACGACGACGACGACGACGACGACGACGACGACATTCGTGTCGCCCCCCCCTGCAGAGGAGCTGCAGCGGGCCGACCTGGAGAGGGCCAGGCGCCCCCTGGGCGGCTGCCGCACGATCGACGAGCTGGTCCCGACCCCCGCCAGCAGCAGCAGCGGCAGCGCTGCGCGGCTGGAAGCCCTCCGCCGCTCCCGCGACGGCCCCGCGCCGGGCCCCACGAGCTGCGCCTCCGGGGCGCTGCGTCTCACCAGGATCTGAGGGAGAAGCCACCCCCAGGACACCCAAAAAAAAACATCACCGAGCCCAGCGCTGCCTACTGCAGCGGGATGCGTCGGCCCGTGCAGCTAGTTCTGGCCGCTGGCGGCCGCACCGCCGATGGCGTCGACTTGGCCCAAAGCGTCGATTCCGTGCAGAGGAGCAGAGGAGCAGCCACCCCTGCCCCCATATTCTGCGTTTGCTGAGCGGCCCTGGGGCGTTTACTAGACGGCCCTGTCCTGTTCGGGTCCTTCCTCGGGTGCGTTTACGAGGAGTCTTCGCTTGTCGGGGTGTTCCTTACGAGGGTGGTTGCTCTGCTCTCGAAGGATGCGTGAGGCCATCAAGGAGATGGTCTGCCTGGTGCAGGCGGCAGAGGGGACGGAAAAGCTCCTGGGAGGTTGGGTGCACGTGACGCGGCTGGCCAGGACGAGAGCTGGATACACACGTGGCCAGACGTCTTTCCAGCGCTCGCCCTTTCTGTGGCCAGGCATGCAGGGCTGCCGCATGTGTGTCCGGCGCGTGGCCCTTGGATGCTCCACGTGTGAGTGGCCAGAGCTGGTGCCCTTCTCCGAGGGCGTCGTGAGGGCGCGAGAGCGCGAAGATGACCGCGCGTCGCGCATCGCGGGGCGCGAACCACAAAGTTTCGGGTGCCCTCGGGAAGCCTCTCGCGTGAGCACAAACTTCGGGCGCCTGCGGATTCGCGCCAGCGCTGGATCCCCCCTATCCCACCGAGCAGCGCCTCCGCGAGCCTCGCGCGCCAAGGAGCGGTGCCGGGAGGGTTCCAACTCCAGCAGAAGTCTGCCGCCCGCGGGGGCTCAAAGCTCTGTTCGCGTGGTTGCCTGCCCTCCCCAGGTGAGCTGGGGCAGCATGCACTGGCCGCTCCTGTACGCCAACCAGCCGTGCTCCGACCTCTTGGACTTCCAGGTGCCCCCCATGGACTTCGCCCTCGAGCTGGACAAACCCGGCCGCCCCGACGAGCTGGGGGACCGGCCTGGCTTCTGGGACCGCCTCGCCCTCGACGCGGGCGCGGAGAAGGCTTCGGTCGCAAAACATGGGAGCCTCGTGCGCATGTCGTCGCAATTCCATCTCTAAAGTGGACTGGCGTGCGCCAGCGTCTGGTACTCGATGAGAAGACGCCGACTTGGCTTCGACGAGCGTCGATGTAGCGGCGTCTGGCGCCGATGAGCGCCGACGAGCGTCGGTCAGCGTCGGTTCACAAGTGCCAACAAGATGGTAGGCTCCCGCCGCGTTCACGCGGCGGCGACGCCAGCTCGGGCGCTCAGGCTTGAACGCCTTCAGTGGTCCAGAACCGGCCGAGATCGAATGATCTACGCCATCGGAGAAGCCGCGATCGTCCAAGGTCGAGCGATCCACGGGATGTCGGATACCAACGCCGACGTCATCGCGACGCGAGCCTGTCGTATGGAAAGCTCCCATGAGCTGCCACCGACCGGCGGCGAGCCCCAGGGAGGAGCGAGAGGGCCTGGGGCCGCCTCAGAAGGCCTGGAAGGCCTCAGGCCCTCTGAGAAGTGCTCTGAGCCTTCTCCGCAGACGCGGGGAGCCTGGGATCTAGAAAAGCTCGCCTCCTCCCTCTCTCTCCCCCCCTCCGTCGCTCGCCGCCGAAGCGAAGGAGGCGCTCCTGCAGTGCGTGCGCGCCGCCTGGGAGGCGCAGTCGCTGCCGCACGTCTTCGGCCTTACGGCGGCGGCCGCCCCCAGCGGCGGCCGAGGGGCTCGGCAGGTCTCGTGCCGCTTCGCGCCCGTGCAGGAGCTCAGAGGAGGAGGAGGAGGAGGAGGAGGAGGAGGAGGTACGGTCGGACCGAAGCCTCCTCCTCCTCTCTCCTCTCTCCTCCCTCCTCTCTCCTCTCTCCTCTCTC